TCTATCATATTTCTTGGACTTGTCTTGGATGGTTGTATGTTCTTTCTCTATAATATCTAGGCTGTCTTCAATCCCTGAGATTCGATCTTCTGCATGGTCTAACCTGCTGTCAAGACTCTCTACTTTGTTTTTTATCTCTTTTCCTTCTAATAGGTCAGCTTTGATGGCTTCAAGTTCTTTGTTGAAGCTCTGTTTTAGGTCTTGTATGAATTTCTTTACTTCCTTAATTTGGTGTTTAGTGTTTGTCCTCAAATCACTTAGTTGATTGGTTATGGTTTCTTTGGGCTCCCATTCCTTCTGTTGGGTTCCATTCAGCATTCCCTTTGTGGTCTCCCTGACTTCCTTCAGCTCTTTGTTAATGGATTCCATGAATGCCTTTAGTGATCTTTGTGTGTTCTCTACCTGGTCTCTCAATTCCTGTATTACTCTTTGATTAGCTTCCTCCCGTTCGTGGGATTCCTGCAGATCTCTTTGAGTGTTCTCAGCCTGCTCACGCCATTCCTCCCTTTCTCTTTGAGTATTCTCAAGTTGTTCACGCAAATCCTGTATCAGTTTTTGAGTAGCTTCCTCACGCTTATGATATTCCTGTATAAACTTCTGGGATGCCTCCTCTCTCTCCCTGTCACGCTCATACAGAGTCCTTTGTACATTGTCAAACTTTTCATTTATCATGTTTGCCAGCAGTGTTTGTAGAGCTGTTTGGGAACTCTCCTCTGGATTATTCATTATCTGTTCTAACCCCTGATTATCAAGATTGGGAATTGAGATACCCGAATTTGCCATTTTTCTTGTGTTTTTCCGGCTTACTCTGCCCATTTGAGATGAATATAGCACCAGTTTTGTGCTAGAACACTATCTTAAGGCAACCATCAACCAAAGTTTGCATTTGTACAGTCAATAGTCTACAGATACAATCTAGTTCAACCGATACATCTATTCGACATCAAACAACTTTATGTTAAAAGGCTTCGAACCGCAGAGAAGAATTTGGAAAACCAGAAATTATTAGGGTTAGGGAGAGATGTGGGTAAAAAATAGGAATAGATTGGTGTGGGGAGGCACAGGGAGAGTTAACTATGTCCTAATCACAATGCAGGAAATAGGTTGGGTAGGATGCAAGTAGAGAGAGAGAGAAAAAGAAGAAAGGGAAAGGGGAATGAAAAGAGACCAGAAAAAAAAAATAGAAACGTAAAAATTAATGTTATTTTAGAGATTAAAAGACCATCTATTTATAGAGGAATATGAATATGTTGAGAGAAAGGGAGGGACATAGAGGAGATGTGAAAAACTTTTAAAAAATGCTTAAAATATTATATAGGTATAAAGAGGTAGTACTGCTATTAATGAATTTAAGTCTCAGAGGTTTTGAATTGAGTAATAAGTTTGTGGATTTAGTGTGTACACAATGGGGGGTAGGGTCTACTGGTTAACTACGGGTTTATCTGAGGATGTGCAGGACAAGAGTTAAGTCACATAAAGAAGAACAAAGAGGAAAAGATGGAAAGGATAGGAAGGTGAGAAGAAAAGATCAGAAGTTCAGTAGAGCTAGACAAAAAACAAAAAGATAATTAAGAATGAAAGAAAAAGAGAAAGAAGACAAGAAAAGAAAGGAAAACACACATTCACGTATTCTTAAAATAAAAATTATAAGAGGAGAAAAGAGAAAAAAAGTTAATGGAAAACAATTATTTTTTCAGAAGAGGCAAAAATTAAAGATTAATAAAAGTTTTAGAAAAGCAAAAAAATTTTTTTTTATATATATATAAGGTAACAAAAAACGAAAAAAAAACAAAACAAAAAAAAAGAAAAAAAGAAAAGAAGAAGAAGAAGAAAAAAAAAAGTTCTTTGTTTTTTTTGGTGGGGGGAGGGGTGGGAAGAGTCCTGTATCTCCCTTTTGTCTGTAACCAGAGTGTGGTTGGAGTCTCTGGTCAGCTTGAGGTCCTGTGGCTTGATTGGTTTCTTAAGTCAGTTTGTTGGAACAGGCAGAAAAATGCTCTGCTTTACCCAAGATTTTGAGATCCCCCTCCCAGGTTAGTTTAATGGGAGGGTGATCTGCTTTGAGAATCACAAAAGAGGGGGATGCAGTGATGAGGCTAGGTTCTGGGTAGAGTTGAGGCCTTTCAACAAACAGTAGCTTTTCCCTGGGGCTATTTTGTGAAAAAAAACTCACAGCACCCAGCCTGGAGCCATTCTCAGGGTTTCTGTTTTTCAATTGATTGTGGTGGCTGCTAGAGGGAGGGGCAGCCTCTGGCTCTGGTTACCGGGTGAGGAGAGCCACTCCAATGGCTGGCGCCTGAGCTGGGTGACTTTTCCCTGGATGGAACTGAGTCTGTGAGGTCACTTCGCCGTTAAGTTCTTGTGACCTGCTAAATGACTCGTTTTATTCCAAGGCCTGAGCTGGAGCTAGCCGCTCCTCCAAGCTTTGTCGGTATCCAAGATGGAGATCACCGGTGCTGGGGGGGTGGGGGGAGGGGTGGCCTTCCCTCCTTTGCTCCCTGGGAAGGAGTGAGGAAGTGGGTCGTCTCTGGTCTGCAAAGTGCAGGATGAAATTGTCCGCTCCTTGTCGGTTCTTGCTGGTGTTGAGTAGAATCCTCTCGCCCGCTGCGTCTGGCTCCTTCGTCCCGGACTCTCTGTGTGAGCGCTCAGGTATGGCCGCGGCTGCGGTTGCCGCTGCGACCCTGCCGCCGCAGCAGCAGCTGCTGGCAGACGCTTAGATGTGTCTGCTTGGCTTCCCCTCTCTTGACTAACTCTCTGTCCTGTGATGGCACACTTGGTGTGATTCTCTGGCTTGGGACTGTTCACTGGAACTTTGAAACTGTTTTCTATGCAAGAGCTTGTTCAGATTCCAGCTTCTCCTCCGCCATCTTCCCGGAACTCCCCTAGATTTTTTTTTTTAGTGGACAGAAAAAGTATTCTAATTTTCCCTTTCCCTGGCCACCTTTCTTGGACCTCTACTCGCCAACGCAGGCCATGATTGCCAAGGTTACAGTCACTGAGGAAGTTAGCATGTCTGGGATTGTGACATCTTTGGAGGCAGAAAGAATAACAGTGGAATGTGATCAAGGTTGGAGGACTCAAGAAAGCATGAGTATTAGTGAGTAAAGGAAATCTGGCAGGAGGGAGAGAAATATGTGTGTCTGTGTGCATAAAAAGAAAACTTAGGAAATTCAGAGACCTGAGTCTTGAATTAGACAACAGGAAAAACACATAAATGGAATGTGGAGTCTGTAGTCTTGTGCAAGATGTCTTAGTTCTTAATATTGCTTCTCAGAGGTCTTTAATTCTTTCAGTCACTTCTTAAACAAGAGATTGGCAAAGGCCCCATGTTTGGGAAGCAGTTGTTTCTAAAGACTCTGTGAGAAAACAGAGGTAAAATGTGAACAGGGTACTTCAGCTCAAGTGGCAGATTTCCTGGATGATATGTGGGCACTAGTGCCAACTCCTCACATAAATTACGTATCAAGGATTTTTGTTGTTGATATGGAGAATAAAAACCTATTCAATCTCTATCCACTAGGTGGCGGCAAGTCACTTTTAACTTGTTCTCCCTCTGGGAGTAATTAATCCTAGCTTTTTGTTTAGAAAAAAGAAAAAGTAGTTTCTATTACTTGCAGTGATGATAGGTAAGATATATAAAACAAATCCATTTTTGTTTAGTTCTCATATAATCAATTTGAGGTTAGAAAATTTCATGGTCAGATTTTCATGATGAGAATGTTTAATCCAATGATTTCAAGGTTTTATTTGACCAGCAATAGGAGAAAATTCTTGATATTGCAATCCAGTGCCAACCCTGTGGAAAACACAGTTTAATAAATGCTTATCCCTAATATGTGTAATGCATTTTATTTTCTATCTTAATTATTTAAGGGGCTGGGAAGGTGGCTCAGTGGTAGAGCGCTAGCCTTGAGCTGAAGAGCTGAGACACAGTGCCCAGGCCCAGGGTTCAGGCCCCATGACCGAGGCCCCATGACCGGACCCAAAAAAAAAAAAAAGAAAGAAAAAATCAGTCTGGCCATGAATCATTCCATTTTTTTTTAATTTTTATTTTATTTAGTTACTTTTTTTCTCGGTCATGGGGCTTGATCCGTTGTTTTTTATAAGTCACTAATGTGTGGCTCATGATTCATAATTTGGAAAAAATCAAAAGTAGACCTATCTTTTAGCCCCAATTAAAAAAATTCCCCCTTCTATCATTTATTCTCTGTGTTTACCAGTTCACTTTAAACACCAGCATGGCCAGACCTCATAACATCATGAGGGAGGTGATTTCATTTCAAACAAGTGGACCCCAGGTATATGGTCCTTGTTATGCCCTGAGGAGAGTTGGTCATGGGTGTGGTCAACTGAACCTGTGATTCCTTCTACAGTAGAAGCCTCAGCAAAAACACATGACGATTCTTTCTCCTCTACCACTGTCAGGGCTGCCTCATGGAAACTTGTCCCTTGGGCTCTCTGAAAATCTTTCCTCTACTGCTGCCCATAGACTGATCTCCACAGAGACCTGTCTGCTTCCCTGATGTTAGCTTTGCTTACCTTCTCTTTTTTTTTTTGGAGAGGGGAGGGGAGTCCAGTCGTGGGGCCTGAACTCTGGGCCTGGGCGCTGTCCCTCAGCTCTTGAGCTCAAGGCTAGCGCTCTACCACTTGAGCCACAACGCCACTTCTGGCTTTTTTCTTTTTGCTTATGTGGTGCTGAGGAATCGAACCCAGGACCTCAGGCACGCAAGGCAAGCGCTCTACCATTGAGCCACCTTCCCAGTCCCTTACCTTCTTTTTTTTTCTGACCCAGACTCTGGCTACACTTTAACATTTTATATAAGAAACTTGTTATTTTTAACCTCTTGAATTTCTATATAAATTCTAATTCAATTTATAATTAATAAGAGAGTATGCTTCTTATGTAGACCTGAAGTGAGTCTGTGCGTACCTGAATTGGTAAGTGTCTGTCCTCTTCAAAGGAGTGACTAACCACTTCCTTCATATACCTAATATCCTTGTAGGAGGACATGGCACCCAATGATGCTGTAGAAGCCTTGGCTGGCAGCCTGGGGAAAAGGCAAGCAGATCCAGAAGATGCAAAGCCTGAAGTGGATAAAGTCAAGGTAATGAGTGGAAGTTCAGGTATTCCCTAAAAAATGACTATCATTGACCTTCCCCTCCCCCCAATAAGCCAATGACTTAAATATTGTCTACAGAATATGATCAGCTGGCCCTCTTTGTTATTGTGAATGTCCTGTTTAATTAAGCCAAAAGTGTATTTAACAATCTGGTAGGTAGATAGCATACACATGCCTTAGTTCTATGAATGTCCCCTTTATCCAACTATCTATCTATCTATCTATCTATCTATCTATCTATCTATCTCTCTACATTTCTGAGAACATGGGAGAGAAGTGGCAGGTGCCTACTGCTCCTTCCAACCTGACTCTCAGCCCAACAGGCTAATGGTCAAGGCTTTCACATGGTGGCAGAGCCTGCTAGACTTGGAAGCAGTGCTAAAGTTGCTGGAGAAACTTTTAGTGTGTGGCCAATCTGTGCGTTCAAGCCTAATGATAAAGTAATTTACCTCCAACTTAGCCACTCCAATATCCATTTTATAGGAAAAAGATGCACTAACAATGAAAATTATATGACTTTTATTCAGGAGAAAGCCAAAGAAGAAGACCGGGAAAAGCTTGGTGAAAAAGAAGAAACAATTCCTCCTGATTATAGGCTAGAAGAGGTCAAGGTAATCAGACTAGAATATTTTCCCCTTTATTTGGTACTGAATGTGGGAGAATATAAATTCCGTGGTAATATCTCAAACATTGAAGTATAGTTCACAGATATTAATGTTAAAACCCCAAAAGAAGAAGCTACAATATTATCAGTAGTTGGCCTATCCCTACTTTCCTTAAGTGGAAGAGATCAAGTGGGTAAGCTACTACATACTGTCCCTTCAAACACATAGTTTGTTACAATACCAGAAATACAGGAAAACAAAAATGAGTAACAATCATTTCCTATGAGGAAACCTAGCAACTCTTGAAAAAGTAGAGCCGGCTTACCATTGTGTAAGGTGAAAGGTTGACTCGTTTCCTTTGTGTTGAAAACACTGTTGTACAAGTGGCAGAGAGTTAAGACTCTGATGGATTTCCTATTTTTTTTTAAGCGCAGTCACATTTATGTCCCATGGGAGGGACAGAGGTATGGACAAGTGAACAAATGTCAGCCATCTTCATAACACACCACTCCTTAAAAGAACATTCCTCTAACTTTCATTTAACAATCACAGGAAATCAAACTCATAGACCTCTTACATGGGAAACTTCCTCACTTAGCCCTGACTGAAAGCTTGGTATCCTGGCACATTTATTTTGCTTTCTTTCAGCACTGCACAATGCAGCTTAAAAAAAAAATCACAGCCTTTCTATGATGTAGATTTATTGGTAATATTGCTTCACAAATTCTTAGCATCTTCAGGGCCACATGCCTGTCTCCAGCGGTCCCTGTTTAGAAGCTGGCCGGCCGCAATGAACTCTCTTCCTAACAGGAGGTTGGTTCCTTTTAGTAGCAGCATTTCAGAGATTAGCTTTTCCTGACCCCTTTATTCATCAGTACTTCCATCTTCCTTCGCAGTTGCCTCGCACACTATTAGTTACCTGTGGCATTTGTTGTATGACATTCCTGGGTGATGGCTTGATCTCTTGTTTAAACAAACACTATGTAGTTATTCACCACTAAGCTCATACCAGGAGTTGGGAGGTCAGTGAGGGTCAGCTCTCTGAGGGAAGACCTCAAGCTTCACTGAATGGTGTGATGATAGATGAATTTCAACTTGAGGGTAAACCCCCCCCAGCATCCCATGCATCACTTGTGGGTATTTACTGACTTTGTAGCTAAGGAATGAGTAACAGGCCTAAGAGGAAAAGGCCAGGGGCTACTCCTATTCTCCTAGTTGAGGAGAGTGTCATACAATGCATGTGAACTCGGTGGAGATGAGAGGGTTAAAAGTTAGTGTTATTTTTGAGCAAATCTAAACCACTACATCTCATTATTTTTTTTGTGGGTAGTGGGACTTGAACTCAGGGCCTGGATGCCGTCCCTGAGCTTTTTATGCTCAAAGTTAGTGCTCTACCACTTTGAGCCAGGGTACAACTTCTAGTTTTTTTTGGTGGTTAATTGGAGATAAAAGTCTCACGGATTTTCCTGCCTGCCCTGGCTTTGAACCTTGATCTTCAGATTTCAGCCTCTTAAGTAGCTAGAACTATAGGCATGAACCATTGGTGCCTGATGATCTCACATTTTAATGTGATATATTTACACAAAAATGAATGAAATCCCATTAGGGCAAACCATTGTGCTTATTTTATGTGTGTGGATAAATAGGGTTTTTTTTAGATCTTCTTTTATTAAAGAGCCCAAATGTTTTCTTGGTTTTCTCCTATTCCTCAAAAAATTGACAGTTATTTACAGCTTGATATAATCTCTGAGCCCTGAGTTTCATAACATACCACCCACATCCCTGAGGTTTCGGTGACTTTCTGATATTTTTGGTGATGTGTCCAGGTTTCATATTGGGGATGAAATGACAATGCCGTGTTTTTCACCCAAATAGGATAAAGATGGAAAACCATTCCTGCCTAAAGATCCCAAGAAGCAGTTTTCGGTAAGCAAACCAACTATATCTGTTTCCTTTGGTCTTAATGGATAATTTTGAGATGGATTAGCTTTCTCTTTAGTTAGTAAAGCATGTAATAGTGGCATGTGATGGTGTTTGGTGATACATTGCCCACTTCTTACAGGCCCTGAGTGATGACTTCCTTGTTAATGCGTTGTCCGAGGATTTCTATGGTTCTCCAGACGCTTCCTCTCTTGTAAGTCTGAAACTCTTGCTTTACTTTTGTCAGAAATAGATGGAAACTCATAACTTAGAATCTAACTTGGGAGCTAAAACACACACACACGTATATATGTACGTATGTATGTATATATATGTTTTCTGTTTATGTTGTATGTTTTCTGTTATATGTTTTATATATATATATATATATATATATATATATATATATTAATTGACCTCAACTCCAGCATAGCCAATAAAAATGAAATATCATTCCAGAACTTTGGATGTTTCCAACACCGTAATTGAATCAATAAGCATGCTATATTAAATACTATTATGAAAAGATTTAAATTCTCGTTTATCCAGAATTACTTCCCAGACCACTTTACCTGTTTTTTCTATAACTTAATCATTTTCTAAATTTCTCTCCAAGAAAATTTAACCCCATGAAGAACAGATCGTTTTTCAAAGAGAATTCTGTTGCCAGAAAGTTTGGTAAATGTTATGTAATGACCAAAAGATTTCTCTACTATAGAATTCTCCTGGCTTTTTACATGTAAATATATGTCTTTTAGGGTTCCAAATTTATATAAATGATAATTATGTTGGCAATCTGAGTTTCTAAACCACTGAATGCATTGTTGGCAGTCATGGCTTAGGAAATACATTGAGTGGAAAATAAAATAAGAAGAAATAGTGATTCCTCCATGTTACCTTAAGTGTTTGCTCAGATTGAAGCATTAATCCTTTTAAGAAGGGGTTACTATTTACTCCTAACTGAACACCATACCAGATGGAAACACCATGCTATATCAATCATTTCCTCCTTTGACCTTCTTCTCATCTGCCTCCAATATATCTGCCTCAGAATATATCACAGAAAGTCACCCACACCTTACTTAGAAACTGGAAGAAGTAGAGAAGGTAATATTTCAACCTACCTATGTCATGAAAAAACTAATGTTCTACACAGATTTTTTTATAAGTAATTATGGTCCTCATTTTAAAACCTTATGGAATGTAGCCATATCAACAAAAGTCACTTAGTTTTAAAAATTAGTACAATAAACTATAAGATGGCATTAGTTTACTTTGAGTAATCATAAATTAAACATTTATTGGCTAGAAGAAGATTGTCAATGTAGCATAATAACACATAAAATAGAGCCAATTATGTCCTTATAAAATATGCATTTGACATTTTACCTGCACTCATGTGAAATAAACAACTTGAAAATGTAGACAATCCTTTAGTTGGTTAAAGAGTTTTTAACTTAAGAGCCAAATGATATCAACCTAGAAGCATTTCTCTTATAAACAAAAACTAAAAAGTTGAGTTTTATGGTCATTTCTACTCAGTTGTTGAATGGAAATGATTAATAGTATACCGAAAAGGGAATGACAAATGCTGTAAAGTAATACTTGGATGCATTTGTACGTATGACTCTGGATAGTATATTTGTAGGTGACATTTTGTTTGCTGCATATGTTACTGGCAACAGATGAAAATTAAAATGAAATGTTGGACTTATAAATGAAAGCTCCAAAAGAAGAAATGAGTAAGAATGGAGACACAGAAACAGACCACTCTACATCTAAGGTCAACGCTGTAAAAGTGAGGATGGTTCCTTCATGTCATGAGCTTATTGGTTTTTTTGAAATAGCAATAAGGTACCTTCTAAAATAAATAAATTTGTGCTCATTATAACATTATAAAAAGCAAAAGTGTTCCAAACATCTTATGGAAATACTAGGATATGTACACAATAATAATAAATATGAATTATATCCAGAAAATAAACTTGATAACATAGCTCACTAGAAAAAGTGGGAAATAAATGTCAGTGACAGATTGTTGATATTTAGGAAAAATGAGGGAAAAAAAAACATTGCTTCAGAAAGTTTTTGGAATAGTATATTATATAACATTGAGAAAAATAATACAGTTGAAACCTCATTCCATCTACTATAACATTTAAGCAACATTAGTACGTTATAGTGCACCTATTTTATGATTGGAAATAAAAATTTGCTATGATGATGGGCCAGGTGACTATCAATATAGTCTTTTAAACTTGCAAGGAAAAGAATTTACAATGTACCCCTTTCCAATTTCAAATTGGAAATGTAAACTTTCAAAACAAGCTATGATAATGCTCTTGTCAATACTACAAACTTTGTACAAAAATGAAAACCAGAATCAAGAAATGTATAGAAAGAAAACTTTGCTCTTTTTTATTTAATTTTATTGTCAAGATGATATGCAAAGGGGTTACAGTTACATATGTAAGGTAGTGAGCACATTTCTTGTCGAACATTGCTACCCTCTCCCTCATTTTTCTCCCACTTTCCCTCCCTTCCACCCCCCCACCAAGTTGTAAAGTTCATTTCCAACACGTTGTCTTGTGGGTATTGCTGTTGCATTGGTTCACCTTTTGTCCTTTGTCTCACCATTGCATTTCCCTTCCCTTCTCTAATTCAGATAAACGTATGTACACATACCCAGGGTACCACTATCAAATACAGTGACAACAGGATAAAGTATTCAGTGAGTGAAGGCACAAAATTTGAAGATGGTCTCTGGCATATTTTTAATAGATACCTGTATATTCTTACTGTGCAAATAAAATTGCTAGTATAAAATAGCATTAAACTTTGTGAAGCAGTGAATTCCTCCTTTAACATACATGATAACAATGTAATTCTGGGAAGCAAAGCCAAAACAAAAGACATATACACTTGGTCCACTGATTTCAGCAGTGTGAAGCTTAGCAATTTCTGAGAGGGCAGTTTGTAGGAATACAGCCAACACTATAGAAGACACACGTCGATCCTATTTTGAGAAATTAACTACAAATTTATTGAAAAGCCTTGAATTTGCAACAAGAAATGTATTGAAAAAAACACAGAACTATAAGCCACTGGACTACTAAACAATAGGATAATAAATATGAAATAAAACCCAGCAATCACATTTAATAATACGTAGACGTGGGCAGGACAAAGAACGTGTTTACTATTTGTGTATTTGAATCAAGGAAATGAAGCCATAATTTGTCTTGAAAGTTGTAAAGTGATGGCATTGTGTGAATAGTTTTACATACAGTGTACTAATGAGAAAAATATTGTTTTAATCAAAAGAAATTGGATGATGCTAAACTTTCTGCTGTCATGTCTGAAGTGGTTTCCCAAACCCAAGCTCCTACCACCCAAACTGCAGCTCTGCCCCCAAACACCACGGTAAGCAACTTGTCTTATTAATATTTCTTCTAGCAATAATAACAAAAGGGACATGAGAATAGATAAAAATATTAGAAAGAGGGCTGGGAAGGTGGCTCAGTGGTAGAGCGCTTGCCTTGCATGCATGAGGCCCTGGGTTCGATTCCCCAGCACCACATAAGCAAAAAGAAAAAAAGCCGGAAGTGGCGCTGTGGCTCATGTGGTTAGAACGCTAGCCTTGAGCTGAAGAGCCGAGGGACAGCACCCAGGCCCAGAGTTCAAGCCCCACGACCGGACCCAAAAAAAAAAAAATATTAGGAAGGCCAGGCACCTTTTGTTTTAAAAGAGCTTATATTGGTGATGGAGATGGCAGAAAGTCTCTGTGAAATAAACAAAATAACATGGGAAAATATTTTACTCATAGTCAAGGAGCTTGTCCATTTATCACCAAAATTACAAGTGCAGTAATGTGGATTAGGTATATGTTTAATAACTACATTATAAAAACTCCTTAGTTTCTCCAAATTGATTTTTTTCCTCTATATTTTTCCCTGACACATGTTATAATTTATTGTACATTGTTTCACCTCGAGTTTATTTTATGGAATTGTCAATGGTTGAGTTTCTCCAAATGTTTTTTCACAGACATATGATGGAAGGGCACTGTTTTCCTCCTGTTTACACCAGGAAGAATTTGTCATTTTCATGCTAGCAATAGAAAAACCTCAGCATCAATGTTGTTTTAATTATTTACATGTTCTGAGATGAGGCTGTGGAGCCAAAGCTTTTCTTGACTTTTTCTTGATGAATTACCTCTGCAGTGCCAGGCTGTACATTATCTGCGGCACATTAGAAGACAAAGGGGCTGCCACAATCCAGATGCCATCTCCTCTGGTTAACAACAGAGCCTCATTTGCTAGTTGAAGTGGATTAAGTGAAGTCAGCCCTGCCTCTTACCCTTTTGATGTAGCACAACAGCTTACTTAGTGCTATGGTTTCAGATTCTGATGGATTTTCATCCTGGTCGGTCAGGATGAAAATATCCAGAGACACAGATGACAAAGCCCAGATCGGGTCATAGGTAGCTTGATCATTAGCAACTGTCACCCTAGACTCTAGTGAAGCACTTAAACCCAGCAAAATGTGTGTGTGTGCACGCACACGCGCATGCATGTGCATATGTGTTTACATCCACAATAATGAAAGTCCCCATGCAACAGAAAGAACAGTAGAGTAGTAATCCAGGCTGCTGTTTGTATTTGAACCTTTAACTACACACTCACACCAGAGCTCCTACCCTGACTGAGGCTGTGGGCTAGGGAGCATTACCAATCAAAAATCACGAGGAAGTTTTACAATGCTTTTTCTCCATTCATTTTTCCTATTAGAGAATCTATTACTAATGTTTTCTTTAAGGATGTCATGAAAACTAGGGGAAAAAGTTTTATTTAAATAAGAATATTTACTATAGAGTTAACTACCCAGTAATAATTCATGTAAATTACCTTTCCTGGTGACATGCATTCCAAAAAGACTTCCTGAAAGTAAAGATAGAGATATCTAGCAGTTCAGATACTCTCTGGTGTGTTTTGAGGACTCTTATCCCCAATGCAGCCTCTACGAAGCCCTCAGTCTTACGATAGACAGCAGATCATCTATGGGGTTTTGTGTTCCAGGCAGCGATGGGAATGGCAGTGTTGGATTCTACATCCTCCCTCCTCCTGCACTTAGTCCTGCTCTACTTTATGAAGCATAACAAATCTGGCCTTAAAGCACATTCTAAGACCATCCTCTGTTACAAAGTCCTTCGTACAAACCATTTATCATCAGCAAATAGTCATACCCAGTTTTTAGAAAGAATCATGTTTCATTTCTAGATGGAAACAATGTGATTGGTTAAATTGGGTTTTAATACCAAATCAGGTGACTTCAAGGTCTCTTGCTGGGGTATGGCCCCCTGATCTGTCACTAAGACTTGCTTAAGCTGCTAGAGGGAGACTAGCAGGGTAGGGGATGGAGCAGTCCTTCAAAGCTGCTATTCTCACCTCCTTTCCCCTCAGAACTTCAGTTCTCTGATTCTGTCAGCCCTCTTGCTCCACAACAGGTCTACTTCTAAACATCAGGTCCACTTCTTAAAAGGTAGGGGTTCTTGGGCTAGCTTCTATGATAGTTTGATCAACCAGTGACTAATTCAGAATTTTTTTTACATTTTTCAGCAGAGAGACAAAGAACTTGATGATGCTTTGGATAAACTTTCTGACCGTCTCGGGCAAAGAAAGCCTGACCCTGATGCTAACAAACCAATGGAAGATAAAGTAAAGGTAAAAGAATTATGAATAAGTGAGCCAGGTGCCAGTGGCTCACACCTGTAAATCCTAGCTACTCAAGAGGCTGAGATCTGAGGATCACTGTTCAAAGCCAGCCCAGTCCAAAGTCCATGACACTCTTATCTCCACTTAACTACCAAAAAGTCAGAAATGGAACTGTGGGTCAAGTGGTACAGTGTAAACTTCACTACACTATAACCTTCAGTAAACAAGATCAGGGATAGTGCCCAGGCTCTAAATTCAAGCCCCAGACTGGATGTATGCATGCACACATGCGTGCACAAACTCACACACACAACTAGTCCAAGTTGTAAACTTGGTGTATAGTGAAGTTATTTTTTAATTGGAAAAGTGAAATAATAAAATTTATATTCCCCTGCCCTTTTTTCCATCAGTGTGGGTTCTAATGATAACTAAATCTTTAGTTCAAATTAAAATACCAGTACCAGGGGCTGGGAAGGTGGCTCAGTGGTAGAGCACTTGCCTTGCATGCCTGAGGCCCTGGGTTCGATTCCTCAGCACCACATAAGCAAATAGAAAAAGCTGGAAGTGGTGCTATAGCTCAAGTGGTAGAGCGCTAGCCTTGAGCTGAAGAGCTGAGGGACAGCGCCCAGGCCCAGAGTTCAGGCCCCACAACTGTACCCCCTCCCCAAAAAAATACCAGTACCAGCAAAATTCATAAATATCAGCTGACATACAGAAGCATATGAGTTAACATTTTTCACCATCTGTTGTTATCTGTTTTGTTGTTCTGTCACTTAAGAAAAAAACAAAAAGACCATGTTTTGTCTCAGAAAATGCTGAATGCATTTTCTAGATAAAAGAGGAAGCAAATAGTCATTATATGTGTTCAATGTTTGTAGGAGAAAGCTAAAGCAGAACACCGAGACAAGCTGGGAGAAAGAGATGACACTATCCCACCGGACTATAGACATCTCCTGGACAATGATGGACAGGTAAACTGGGACACATGGCTAAATTTGATTTATTCTCAAAAGCTTTATAAATTAAAATCTCATTTGAAATGAATAGATGCTGTACTCTTAATATAGCATAAAAATTGGTCATAACTGAGTGTTTTTAATGAGCCTCCAGAAGTAACAAGAAAATTAGAAGTGTGTTAATATTTAAGTCAATTCATTAGAGATTCATAGGTGGGGGCCCTAGGGTATAAATGAGTTGAATAATGTTCTTTCACTCTCTGGTCTTAATAGTCATTCCAAGAGATGTACAAATAGGTTTTTAAATTTTTTTTCAAGAAAGCACTATAAAAGTAACCAATGCAGGTTGGGTATTATAGGTTTCATGCCTGTGATCCCAGCTAACTTGGGGGTCAGAGATTAGGAGGAGGGTCATGGTTTGAGGCCAGCACAGACAAAATAGCAAGATCCCATCTCAATCAGTAAACTAGATGTGCTGTTGTGTACCTGCGGTCCTAGCAACACGAGAGGCTGTGAATTCTCAGTCCAAGCTGGCCCTGGGGGAAGGAAATATAAAAATATGTATGTAAAAATAAACAAGCAGAAAGAGCCAGAGGTGTGGCTAAAGGGGCAGAAGATTGAGTTTAAACCCCAGTATTGCCTCCTCCCTCTCCCCAAATGGTCAATTTCTAATGGAATTTCTAAGGAAGCAGTCTCTATTAAGGAAAACAGAGGAGGAACAGTATTGGAATGTAGGACAGATTAACATAAATAAAACAACTCCATGACCTGGTTGCTGTTCCTGTCTTCTGCACCATCTCAGCCAGCACTGTTGTGCTTGAGGACAGGCAAAACAGTGTTCACAGTCATGAGCCCTGCTTTGCTTCAAGAAGTCCCTAGCTTTCTGTCTCTAACATAGCTGTATACAGCTTTTCTTATGTGGACTTGGTCTGTTTTTCTCCCTCTCTCCTCTCATCAGATAAAACAAGGAAAACTAAATTACATCCTTTTCCTGTACTGTTTTTGAGGAGAAGACACCCCTGCCTGAAATAGAGCTGCCTGCTTCAATGCAGGCAGACTATTGTTAAGGAATCCATTCTCCTTGCTTGTGCTAAAATTGCCTGGAGAAGGCAATTCTGCATCCCTCGAGACTCCTCCCTGCTTTGATAATGCCGTGTCAATGGGGGAATGTATTATTTAATGTTCATGCCTTTGAAGATGGGGAAATTCCTATCGATTTAGTCATATGTACAGTTGTGTTTGAAAATACTCTTTGAGAAGGAAAAAAAAAAAAGAAAATACTCTTCAAATCAGACCAAAGTATAGTAAGCTTTAATAAAACTTGAGATGTAAACACAAGTCATTTTTGTACCATTTAAAAATGATATAATTATGACACCAGATGGCATCAACTTCCTAAATAGTATATGTGTCCCTTCCAGGATTAGGCTCTTCTAGTTCCCTCAAAGCTACAGAAAAAGGGTGAAGAAAATCTTAGAGAAATGGTTGGGATGCAGGTTTACGAGAGTTATGCCCACTTCATCTTTTCTAAGTTAAATCATTAGAGGGTAGATTCTTTAAATACTGACTATACCTAAGTAAATCTTTTTGAAGATCTACATTTAACAAATAATCTCCCTTGTGTTTTTTAAGGACAAACCAGCCAGCCCAGCTACAAAGAAATCAAAGGTAAATACCATAGTAGTGGTTTCAATTAATTTTTAATTCTAGCTATAGTTTTTGTTTGTTTTGTTGGTCGTGGGGCTTGAACTCTGGGCTTAGGCATTGTCCCTATGCTCTTCAGCTCAAGGCGAGTGCTCTACCTCTTGAGCCACAGCGCCACTTCGTTTTCTAGTGGTTTATTGGAGATAAGAGTCTCATGGACTTTCTTGCCCAGACTGGCTTTGAACCACTATCCTCACATCTCAGCCTCTTGAATGGCTAGGATTACAGGCATGAGCCACCAGCACCCAGCTATTTTACATTTTAAGAAAGTAAAATTTGTTGAATGCCTGCCTCACGCTTTTTTGTATTTTAAAATATGAAATAAGAATTTGTATGTACTATTTATCTCTTATGTATCTCTTATCTATTCCTCACAAAAACCCTGCATGAGATAGATAGGACTGTTTTCTAGGTAAGCAAACTTGTGTTAAAGAGTAGAAGAAAATCATACAGTATCAAATTTTCATGGCTTACCCTCTTCTCTACACTATATTATTGTTAGGGGAAAAAGTATCTTTTCTCATAAATACCTTTTACTTTTCAGTGATGTGGGGTAATGCCCCAAACTGTATTTTGCCTTGTGTTTCTCACTGTGGGTTATATCTATTAATATCCCAGAAACCTGAAGACGACCAAGACCCCATTGATGCCCTCTCAGGAGACCTGGACAGCTGTCCAACTCCAGAAACCTCACAGAACACAGCAAAGGTACTACATCTTCTCCATTGACTTTTCTTTGTAATGTGTACATGCGTGTGTCTGTATATACATATATATATAATTTTTAAACTGTAGAATCAATGATGCTACAGAGAACCTAAAAAAAGTAAATGAAAAAAATTCTAAGACTCCCTAAACATTATTTTCATACTTAACTTGTTCTTTCTCTGTATGTTCTCTAAAGTTACACTTAGTCCATAATACATTGTTTAACATGACTTTATCAGTATTTCCCATATTGCTTTGAATTTTCCAAAGCCATGGTTAATTGATTGTCATGCTGTATTCATTTAAATGAGAGAGTCTCTAATTCCCTAGACCTTTCCTGTCACTTTCTGGAGTTTCCTTCTATTTTCCTCTTGTCTAGCTGGTTACTCCTTTCCAGCAGGGCTCAGCCTAACCATCAATTCTTCTTTCACCTTACGCCACCTGGCCTCTTCCCCAGGCTTTCTCTGCCTTCAGCTTACCTGTCTGTTAGGTGTGTTATGAGCATCAATCTGTGCTACACACGGGGTCTTGACTTCTGTGTTAGCCATAACAAACACTTGAATCTTAGAAGGTGCTCAAAACATGTGATTCAGAAAGAATCAATAATGCATAATTCAACAAGTGTGGGGTAATTTACCTACAAGCCATGCCCTCTCATAAACCAAATAGAAGGAAATATACAACCAGAAGAATGAATTGGCAGATCTACTTTGCTACTGTGTCAGCTGTTAAGCATAGCCCCAGTTATTGGGTTGCCCATATTAGATGACGGACTGAACTTCTTCTAGACCACATCAGCCTCCTACTACTGATTCCTGTATGTGTATAGCTAATTAAGACCTTCTTTAGCTAACGGACTTTATTTTCCCATGTGACCCATTCCTGCTCTCTGAACTTATTTTTTAAAGTTGATTTTCAAAATTTTTGTGTATAAAGTTCATAATGCAAAGCTTTGGGGGATACATACAGTACTTAACAAAAGTCTCTAGTACAATATAATTTTACTAACTTGAATCTTCATAATATACAATAGATCTTTAAACTTGTTCATCCACTTATTGGCTATTGTATCCATTGATATACCTTTCCTCCCCCAATCTCCCTTATTCTGTCCATAATAATGTTTTTTTTTTATTCTTGGTCTCTGTGTATAGGACAAAGATCATGTAGTGTTTTTCTGTGTCTAGCCTATTTCATTTAGCATGACATCCTTAAAATATACCTCTCTTGTGGCATGTGGCAATATCTCCTTATAAGGCTGAATAGTACTACATTTACTTTATCCATTTATTCATCCAAGGATATTTAATTTCTTTCTACATATTGGCTATTGTAAACCATAATAGTTGTAGAAGTATACATTCTCACCAACAATGGACTAGGATTCTATTTCTCGCATATTTTCCAGCACTTGTTATTTTTTGTCTTTTTGATAACAAGTTCTGTTTTGGTGACAGAGTAAGGTTTGTGTGAAATCAATTCCATTCTTTTATCCTTTTAACTCCTAAGCACTTTTAACTGTTAAGTACTTCTGGGTACTGTTGCTTACGAAAATCATGACAACAGCATCCACTGTTACTGGTGATCTACAAACTACTAGAAAGTGTAGGCTGGGTTAATTTGATTACAGCCAGTATTTAATTGTTGAGTGGACCGTAATCCAGTAGCCTCACAACTTTTTCTTTGCTTTAGGATAAGACCAAGAAGACCGCCTCCAGTTCCAAAATTCCTAAGAACGGAGGTAAAGCAAAGGATTCTACACAGGTAACCATGGGGCAGCCAATATTAGAATTAATTTAACAATTTTATGAGCATAGTTTATTTTTTTGTTGCCAACTAGTTAGAAAGATTTTAAGCATGCCTAGCTAAGCTGAAATTTTAAAGGTGTGTGTGTGTCTGTGTTTTCTAAGTAACTGTGGGTTTAAAAATGTTCAAAAGTTTCAGGTTTTTATGTTAAAAACATTTATTAACTCGAGTTGCCTATGTTTCTTGCCCCTTTTCTGAAACTGAGTACATTAAGCATGGGAGGGAGTGTATGAAATCGGGGAAGATGTTAGAGATTTTATGGTTCAGTATGTTCACCAGCAAGGCAGATTCATAAATAACGAACTATTAATTCATGTGTTAGTCAGGTTTTTGCCACTACTATAAAATACTTCAGGCATTTAATTTATAGAGAGGAAATGTTTCTTTGGGTCCATCTGTAGTTTTTGACAATCCAGCCCATGACTGACTGGCTATATTGCTTTGGGCAGTACATTGTGATGGTAGTGCCTAGTGGAACAAACTGCTTACCTTTTGGACCAGGAAATAAAGAATAAGAGAATGGGGTACCATGATAGACTTTGAGTGTACATTCCCAATGATCTAATGACACCCCCATAATGCTCCAGCTCCTAGAGGAGTGCCATCCTTGGGACCAAGCCTTGTTCCCCATGTTTTTGGGGAGTCATTCAGTGTCCACAATATAGCAGTATATAATTTTTATGTTCCTCTACAAAGCACAGTGGACACTAAGGAATGTGAAGGTATGGGATTCAGTTTAAGTCTTAGACTTGGGCATTAATGTAATACCACAATTTGGAGCTTCTGATTGTTAAAATTACTCAAGCTGTGGTCTGCTTAGACAGTATTTATTTCCCTTAAAATGACAAAAGTATGTGGACAAAATGATTCTAATTGCCATTTTCTGATGGTAATGAGAAATTAACCACAAAAAGACACTATCATGTAGGTGTGTCAAACCTGTTCAGAACAAGATCATTGAGTCTTCTTTTGCAATTGATTCCCAAAGGTTGCAAAAACAGAATTGATAATTGAGTTACTCATGACATATTTTAAATAGATTAAATTGCTTGTTATTTAATTGTAGTTATATAAAGTAACTGATCAACCCCTTAACAAAGAAACAGAAGATAGCAATTACAGTGTAATGAGTCTATGGCCGCCAACTACAGGGAAAAAAAGACAAATCATTATAGAATATTGAAACACTGTCATCTACGAATATCTGTGCATTTTTTCCAATATTTAGCCTACAGGGGCCTTTTGTTTTTTTACAAAAATAAGTTGAGAATAAGAAATTTACGGTAACTTAAAAGTTATTGATAGCTTAGGAACTCAAGGAGGAAGAAAACAGCTTTTAGGTAAATGAAGAAGAGAAACTTGGGAAGGATCATTTTATTTTCTCCCATTGACTGCCATTTTCGGTCCCTTTAATTCTGAGGATCTCATTTCCTCATAAACCTTCCCTCCTAGGTCAGTTCTTTAACATTTTTTCCAGAAAATAAAGAGCTCACTGATGGCTTTTTGTGTTCCCTTGTAGAGAACAAAGGAAATTTCCAAGCCAGATGGTGAAGGAAAAACAAGCTAAAATTTACAATTCGGTAAGTTCAGTGTTATATTGTAAACAAAAAAAAACTGTACTTTCTGCTATCCATGTTATGGAAAAAAATGAAGGGCACCTGATAAATATTTCATTCTTTCTTTATACTATTATTATGAAGTGCACATTGGAAAGTCAATATTAAATAGGATGATTGTGCTCCTAGCATGTTTAAAAACATTAATCTTCTGATTCAGAGCCTATTAAAATTTTAGGCCAGACTCTTTAAAGAAAATGACCATCTAAGCAGGGTACTGGAGGTACATCCTGTAATCATAGCTACTCAGTAGACTTGGAGGCTTGCAATTCTAAGTCAGTCCAGGCAGAATATCTTTGAGACTGTGTCTCCAAAATAACCAGCAAGAAAGCCGTACTTAGAGATGTGGCTCAAGTGGTCAAATATCAGCCATGAGCAAGCAAGCCAAGCAAGACCAAAAGGCCCTGGATTCAAATCCAGGTACTGGCAAAAAAAGAAACAAAAAGAAAAGACAAGAAAAGAAAAAAGAAAATGACCATCTGAAGCTAGTTGAACCTTTGAAATTCAGATAGGTTTGACCACAGATTATTGTGGCAAAGTAAATTTTAACATGTTCCAACTTGTAAAATGCCCTTAATTGATACTACCCCAAATACCAATGTTTGGTTGGGCGGGGGGGGTGGGATGTAGAAAGAAAAGACCCTCTCTGGAGTCTCTCGGAAAGGAACAATTTTTAATAATTTTTTTTGTAAAGATACTGTACAGAGGGGTTACAGTTACATAAGTAAGGTAATGACTACATTTCCTATTGAACATTGTTATCCCCTCCTTTGTTTTTCTCCTCCCCTTCCCATCTCCCCAACTCCTTCCTCCCCCCAACTCTTGACCACTCATATATCTTAGTTCTGGGAACTAAGATGGTGACTGAAAAAAATTCCAATAAGTGACTGAATCTCTCAGACCTACACTAAGAAATGATTCTTATGTAAATCTTCAGAGGAGAGCTTTTATTCTTAGGCATAATAGCATAAAAATAGTTACTGACCAAAGCCTGAAAGTAATCAAAATGTGGGCTAAGTCACATTTAGTATTCCTGTGGCTCATTTTTATTTCATATAAAGGAGGTGTTCTGATTAGAATTTCTCAAACAATTTTTTCTAGAATTTAATGAAAAACTTCTGTTCGTATACCACTCCCATACTTCCTCACAGAAAATCCTTATCAGTTGCTAGGTACCAAATTTTATGTGCTGTCACATGAAAATCCTCTAACCAATGGTTCACTGAATTTTTTTATTTGAAATTTTTAAGGTATCTGCATCTAAAACCTTCACCTGGTGGATGGTGACTTGGAAGAACAAAGGATTTCAGCAATAGACAAATTTTCTGGGTGGCTTCTTGATGGTGGTCTTTCTTAAGCCTTTTGACATCGTACGCATTGATTTGTTATTCTTTTCCAGAAAGAAAATGAATTTGTCTGTTTCACCTGTGTTATTGATTGTTGGTAAACTTTGAATTTTTTACAAATTGCCTTTAGTTAGGAGAGAAAGGAAGCTTTATATTTGTTAGAGAAGTATATTTGATAAAGTTTCTTAAAGCACCACCAAAAGAAAAATTTAAAACTAGAAAGAAAACTTTGCAAACTTTTGCACATTTTACACACAGTGCCTGTTAAATCTCATTAGTATTTTCAGTTTACACAGCATTTTTTTAGCATTTGGAAAATAATGCTTTAAATATTTGTCAGTGCTCAGATTCCTTTTATTCCCTTTCTTCCTGAGTTTTTGAGCTATATTTGATGTTTCTTTGGGTTAATGTTCATAAGTCAACCCTAAAGTATTGTATATTGGGCATATATCTTCTCTTGGGCTGATAATAATAAATTAATAATAATGTGGAAAAAACAGAAGAACAGAAAACACCAGTCTCCATTTTTCATTGGAGTTTTTCTTTGCCAGGGGTGAGACTTTTGTACCATATAGTCAGATGAAAAATTGACTTGTTAAGTCAGAACAGCAAAATACAGGCTAGCAAAAGCACTGGATAGCAAGTCTCAAGAATAAGAAATTTTAGGGGCTGGGAAGGTGGCTCAGTGGTAGAGCGCTTGCCTTGCATGCCTGAGGCCCTGGGTTCGATTCCTCAGTACCACATAAACAAAAAGAAAAAAGCCGGAAGTGGCGCTGTGGCTCAAGTGGTAGGGTACTAGCCTTGAGCTGAAGAGCTGAGGGACAGCGCCCAGGCCCAGAGTTCAGGCTCCAAGACTGGACCCCCCCCCCAAAAAAAAAAAAAAAAAAGAATAAGAAATTTTAATTCTGAGAGTATTCATATGGCTTGAACTTGGTTTACCATGTTTTTAAACTGTGGCTTTTGTTCTCACTCCATAAATCCTAGACAGCAGTTTTCACATAGAGCCATTTGTCACACTTGCCTTTAAGCTGTATGCATCTGGCTTTGCAGAAGTTAAGTTTATCAAGTATAAAAACTAACTTCTGCTTTAAAGATAAAATATATATGTATGTATGTATATGTGTATATGCTGAAATTTAAAGTGCTTTTCCCTCTCAGCAGTTTCAGAACTGGGCTTTGGTATCTGACAACTTTGAATGGATTCTCAGATCTTTCTGTATAAATAGTTACAAACATTGCACTGATAATGGAATGTGGAATTGTGAGAAATAATTTCATCTTTATTTCCAGAGTATGAATGTGGGAAAAGATGATGCTAGGTACATATCATAGACAGATTTGGAATTTCTTCTTTTCAGAAAGTAAGCCTTACTTAGCATCAATATAAAGCTTTTCTTAGGACTTAACTAACTTCACTAGACATAGTAATGTAAGCAATACTGTCTAGTGGGGGGAAGGGTGAGAAAAAATACTATTACTTATAATAAGCATCAAATTTTGTTAATTTTCTCTGAAATTCTCACTACAAATTGCAAATTAGGCACATACCAATTGGATTTCAAATTATACATAGTTACAAGGATAAGCCCCTATCCCATTGAAGACGCAGTCGTTCTATTTTGAAGGTACTAACAACAACAACAACAACAAAAAACACCTCACCTTTCTGGAAGAATTTTAAGTATGTATTTAATCTTCCCATTTGGACAGTACAGGTATTTGGTTCCTTTTCATTTTGTCTTTAAAAGGAGTGAAACCATAGACATTGACAGATGTGTTTGTAAAGGTATGGCTGCAATAGTAATTTCCATGCAAATATCAAAGTATTTTTTTAACTACACACCAAAATCCAGAGATTTAATGAGGTAAACATACATTTAAGATATTCAGAATATGCCTTCTTTTTTATTAGAAATACCTCTTAAGGTTGGATGTTTGCGAGTAACTCAAAATGAGTTGAGTAAGCTACAGGAGTTAAAGCAACCCTATTATTATTTTTAAATCAGGTCAGGAGAAAATAATTGCAAGTATCCACTTAGAAGTAAAGAACACACATTTATTACAATGTTTATTCTGCACCTTGTAATATTGTCTAACAAATTGGCTTTTCAAACAATATTGAAGCTAGATGACCAAAATTAAAAATTGCTATCTCTGTTTCACTGATATAAATACAATTAAAATATTTTACATTAAAGTCTTGGTTGTGTATTTTTTTTCTTAGAAGCAAAGTAGCCTGGGGAAGAATTCCCCAGTAATTTGTTTCTGTATTTAATTCTTAAACCTTCAACCACACATAGGTGTAAAAATAGAACTATAATCACATTTGTTGTGGTTTCAATAATAAAGTACCCTCTCATACCCAAAAAGCGCATGTGTTGAAGACTCAGTCCCTAGTTGTTGGCCGAATTAAGAGGCTGAATCATGAGGCACTAATTTTTACCAATGGATTATCCAATTGATGACTTCATCACTGAATGGGAGGAAGGGGGTAGGGATGTGATTTTCAAGGGTACATCTTGTGCTGGGATCTTTCTTCTCTGGCTCTTTCTCTACTTCCCAGCTGCCATGCGATAAGTAACCTCCTACCTGCATCACCTGCTCCTGCAGCGTCTCCAGCCCAGAACAATGGCACCACTTTCCATGGACCAATACGTCTGAAACCTAGAGCCAGAATAAATCTTGGCTTTTCCCAGGTGTTTTGTCACAGCAAAGAACAGGTGACATATTTATGTCTCTGAAATGTCAAACTACTCTGTCGTTTTTTAGAGCAATGCATTTTGATATCCTTCACATTAAATCATGTTCCTTATCTTGAAATGATGCCATCTACTCTTGTTTTTTTTTTTTTTAATTGTGAAAATACCATACAGAGGGGTTACAATTACATGGGCAAGATAATGAGTACATTTCTTATCAAGCATTGTTGCCTCCTCCTTTGTTTCCCCTTCCAATCCCTTCCACTCTGCCCTCCCACCCCACCCCCCCACCCCGGCCAAAGTTGTAAAAGTTCGTTTTTCAACATAATGTCTTATACATCTCATTGTTGTAATGGGGCCACCTGTATCCCTATTTAAACAATCTGTTTTTTCCCTTCCTCTCCACAAATTATGCCAACATCAAATACAGTGAAAGCAGGGGTTATACCACAGGGGAGGGACATACAAAGCAACAAAGAAATCATCTAGAAACAATCGCAAGAAAGAAGAAAAAAACATTTGAATCCTTATCTTAGGGTTCATTTCGCCTAACATCACCATCTACTCTTGTGTATGACATCAATTCAAACAAAAGACTGCACAGCCTTCACTTAGTCTAATATAAGTATTTTCAATTTCTCGGTATATCATCATTTGTTGGTGGCTCTGGAATGATTTATTGTCAACAAATGCCAAGATTGAGTTACTTAGCAATTAAAAACTAGGCTCAATTAGCAGAGAGTAAACATTGCCTCCCTACTTAAGGATCAACAGCTTTCCATCACAACTTTAATGGATGGCATGTCCTCCATAGACCTGAATGCCAATGAGGCTGTCAGGATCCCTGAGAATAGTTCTATGCAAGGACTTTTAAATAAAGCTGCTGGACCAGATATATTTCAACCCTGAGTACTACCAGGCTTCTAGCCTATGGGTCTCCTAGTCCTGTTGCTTTTAGTCCTGTAGGGATGAGAGAAGGAAGTACTTAACCTAGTACTTAACCTACCCCAGAGATGGAGAAGACTCTGTGGAAAAGATAGTTGCTTCTCTGAAGCTAAGACCTTAGAGCCCAATATAAATCATCCTGCAAAGAAGCAAGGAAATATATAGCCATACATACCCCCTCCTTCAACCACAGCTCCGAACTCCCGGGGCTGTGGACCAAAATCCAGAGGGCAAGAAAAGGTGATGGCATGAAGCCAGGAAGAGAAAGTAAATACAGATCTAAACAGATAAGCAAAAGAGTTCTTGCCCAGCCATGTTCCAGCTTAGTTATTGATCCAGTGTTCCTTTCTCAGTACTCTTTACTATTCAAACTCTTACCGGGGGACATCGCCAGAAAAGGAATGTGGACATTGTAGGGTTTAAGCATAAAATAGAAAGAGTGAGGAACTTTATTATTCTGTAGCAAAGGATTTACAGTTCAGGGCAGTACTGTTAAACATGGAGCTACATCAACTAGCATGCAGTCTTCTCTCAGAAATGATGAAAGGGTTAGGTGTATGTAAGATTATATATAGTTCAATCTCCAACAAAATGAATTTTAAAAACTTTAGAAATTCCTAAGTCATCCAGAAATGTTCAAATGAGTAGAGTTGAAAAGTATCATCAGAAAGCCAAAAATAACCATCGCCAGCTTGAAAATATATCCAGTCTATTAAATGTTCACATTAAATAACACTTTGGTGATTATAGGTGACAGGAATTTGGCAAGAAACAGATTACTACAACAGTTCAAGCTTTTCACTTTGCAGCCATACTCTTATTTTATCAAAATTCTTGTCCATCCAGCGTATATTTTCTTCGATGGTTTCAACTGTTTGTTGAACACAACGGAGCTGAGAACCATTTTCTTTCAAAGAGCTGAAGAATTCTTTTACCTTGTTAGGAAAGCAAAATGAAATTATCTTAAAGTTAATTTTGTTTCCATGAAGCAAAAAGAACTTCAAGCCAGTTAAAAGGAAACTGAAACCAGAATTCAGCATTTGTCACAAATGTATGTAGAAAACAGCCCTGGGTATCTGGATGTGATTATGGTCACTTAAGCTTTAGCTGTTTGAAATGAGCTCATGCCTCATGATGTCAGGTTTTGGGGTTTCTTCTCTGTAACTCTTTTATTTATTCACAGTTGCCAGGCTTTTAAAGGCTTCCTTGTTCACCATTTTATAATTAAGATTTAATTGAGTGTGTCTATTTAATGTGAATTTTGTTCTATACACAGAGATGCAATCTTAAGTTCTTAAAACATGATAGTTAGCAAGCAGAATGTACAGAGTATCTTCGTTGCCAAGCAAAACACTTTCAACCACATAAATAAAGTCTTTTCCACAGGCCTGGCCTTGTACATTATTACAGAAACCCTGCAGGGAATGGAGTTCTTAGTAAATTATGGTGGTAAGACCCCAAATTTTGCCAATGTTTTTATGCTAATCCACAATTCCTAGATTGTTGCCACAAAGTAAAATCTGCAGAAAGTTACCTACAGTTTTAAAGAGATAAGAAACTCTTGGCTCTAGCTCCCCTTGCCCCACAAAATTTTTGTTCTTGTTTCCTCTCTGAGTATCTGAGCCCCTTAAGTTCAGATGGTAAATATACCAGTGGTGTCATGGCACCGAACATGATGCTATTTTGTTTCACAGTAAAGGGTTGCTAGCCTTTCCCCATAAATTTCCACAGCATTAATCCATCAATTTTTGTTTTGTGGTCCAGAAGCCAGTGGAGGCCAAGTTGTGTTTATTCAGCATGGGATTACAAACAGCTAATTCCTTTACAGTCCATGCCATAATACCATTTTATTTGTTTGGGAGTGGGGGGTGGGGTGAGGATAAGAATAGATTTCAGAAAGATCAAATTGCAATCTACATAACACGGAGTTGTTTTAATATCATCTCTGTACAATGCTCAGGAGTTACTGAAACAACCTACCTAGAAAACATCTCTTCCTCTA